TCCAGAGTGGATCCTTTCCACAGGGTACAGTCCTTCAGGAATGGACTGCTCCTGTGTGGGTCCCCCACAGGCCACAGGGCCTGCCAAGAAACCTGCTCCTGCATGGGCTTGTCTCCACAGGCAGCAGTTCCTGCCTGGAGCCTGCTCTACCGTGGTCCTCCATGGGCTGCAGGTCTCACTATCCAAAGATATAAAAGCCAGCCCAGCATGGCTTCTCTTCTGGACCAGACAACCAGATGTCCTGAAGGATGGCCATTTCCTACACCTGTTGGAGTGCTCGTACCACACCAGTGTCTTGGCTATTGCTCTTCCATGTCTGCCCAATGTTAAGACCTGCTCTATTTCTCATTCTGCTCCCTACCAGTGAGTAAGTGGGCAGCTGGGAAGAAGTTGAGAGGGGACACAACCAGCACAGCTGATCAAAACTGACCAGAGGGATATTCCATACTGTATGGCCTCATACTCTGGGGTTGTGGAGTCTCCTTCTCTGGAGATACTCAAGCCCCTCCTGGACAAGCTCCTGTGAAGCCTGCTCTGGGTGACCCTGCTTTGGCAGGGGGATTGGACTGGATGACCCTCAGTGGTCCCTTTCAATCCCTACCATTCTATGATTCTGTGAACTACCCTCCCTAGGTCCCACTTGGGTCCCTGGAACAATCGCAGTAACACAGGAGAGACCTTACTTGGCTGGGGGCTGGGGCTGGTATAGGGAGGTGGGGTCTGGAATGAGGCTCCTGGGGCAGTTTCTCCTGTCTGTTCATGTAGCAATAAGCTCAGCTGGATATCTGGACTGAGGGACAGTTCCTGAGGGCTCCCATGGGCATGGGGAACATCTACAGTTTCCCAAGTTCTCCTCTGTATGTTTTGTTTTTTCCAGTGAGAATCACAGAGGTTGTCAGCCATGCAGAAGAATCAGGAGGGATCTTGCCCTCCGTGGGGTCACAGCTGGACCCTGGTTGAGGTCCTTCACCCTGCAGTGGATTTGGTGTAAGGTTTTACAAACGGGATGGGGAAGGTTGTCTCAAGGACATGTGCTGGGCATAGGGACTGAAGGACAGCAGCGCAATAAGGAGGCTTCTCGGTTCAACTCTTCTCTCAGTGAAGGTCCTGACACAGGTGCCAGTCTCACTCTTTCATTGAAACCTTTCAGGAGGGATGATGGTACTAAGAGATGATTCTCCTCAGTTCTTCTCCAGCCACATCCCAGGCCTGGTGGAACACAAAAGCAGCAAGGACTCTGCACCGTGATCTGGCCTGGTGCTTCCGGCCCCATCCCTGTCCTCCTCACAGGGCCACAAGTTGGCAGTGATGCTCTGCCGGACAATTTGGCTCTTGGACTATGGGATGACTTGACACTGGCTGTGCTGGTCAGGTCCAGCTGGACGGGTAGCAATGCTACTGAGCTCCTTCCCAGGGGTCTACTGCTGTGAAATGGGCTCAGAGCATTTCTTGTGGCTCGGGATGTTTCCCAGCGTGCACAGCAAACCACCAATGGGCTTTTGCTGAAGGAGATGTGAATCACCCACCAGTATCTTTTCATGGTCATGCTGTGAGTCCACAGTGTCCCCCGAGAATGGCAGAGCCCTTTTTTGCTTGTGGACACTTCAATATAGCACTTTTCCTTTGGGTGAATCCATCTTGCATGGTCCCTTGGTTTGGGATGCCCACCCCCAGGCACATGGTGTCCCTGTAGATGCCCACTGCCCTCCTGGGATGGCTGGTTTCCTCTCCAGAAAGCCAGGCAGCTGCCATTCAGCTCTGCTGCACGTGGGAGAGCCCTAAGCAGGCACATCAGCATCCATTCACCATCTCCAGTGGCACCGGCAACCCACAAGTGACTGCAGCCCTCACTTCCCAACATTTCTCTCTGTTTCCCTCCCCTTAAGCCCACTGACAACCAAGCTCTGGCACAAGCAATGGTGAGTGCTGTTGCTGGAGTCTGGTCCTGACAGAAAAGTCCAGCAGTCAGGAGCTGGGCTTGGGAGAGCAGTTGTTTGCTACAGAGATGCTCCTCAGGAAGCCAGCTCTGACACTGTGGTGAACTCGTCTGTATTATTTAGCAGATTACGATCTTGGTTCTGGAGGCATGGAGTGAATACAAACATTCCTGTATGAACATGATCAACAGAAATGAAAACCAAAGAACGTACCAACCTGTTCTGAGAAAAGCTAGTAAAGGCCTGTGAGGACAGCTGATCAGTTTACTGCTGCTGAAGGTGAACCCAGTGAATCAGTTTATTTAATGCTCCTTTGAGCTCCTGGTTCCTCATGCTGTAGATGAGGGGGTTCACTGATGGAGGCACCATCAAGTACAGCACTGCCACCAGCAGATCCAGGGCTGAAGAGGACAGAGAGGAGGGCTTCAGGTAGGCTAATATGCCAGTTGTGAGAAACACGCAGATGACAACTAGGTGGGGGAGGCATGTGGAAAAGGCTTTGTGCTGTCCCTGTGCAGAGGGGATCCTCAGCACGGCCGTGAAGATCTGCACATAGGACAGCACAATGAAAACAAAACACCCAGATGCTAAAGAAACACTAACCATAAGTACCCCAACTTCCCTGAGGTAGGAATGTGAGCAGGAGAGCTTGAGGATCTCGGGGATTTCACAGAAGAACTGCTCCACAGCATTGCCCTTGCAGAGGGGTATGGAAAATGTATTGGCGGTGTTAACCCCCCTGCCCCGGGCGGCTGCTGCCATGTGGACACAAGCTCTGCTACCCAGGAGGGTCCTGTAGTGCAGGGGTTTGACAACGGCAATGTAGCGGTCATAGGCCATGATGGTGAGAAGAGAAAACTCTGCACCAATGAAGAAGAATACAAAGAAGACCTGGGCAGCACATCCTTCATAAGAGATGTCCCTGGTGTTCCAGAGGGAATTGGCCATGGCTTTGGGGAGAGTGGTGGAGATGGAGCCCAGGTCGAGAACAGAGAGGTTGAGGAGGAAGAAGTACATGGGGGTGTGGAGGCAGTGGTCACAGGCTATGGCTGTGATGATGAGGCCGTTGCTGAGGAGGGCAGCCAGGTAGATGCCCAGGAAGAGCCAGAAGTGCAAGAGCTGCAGCTCGTGTGTGTCTGAAAATGCCAGGAGGAGGAACCCGGTGATGGAGCTGCGGTTGGACATCTGCTTCCTCTGGGTATGGGGATCTGTTGAGAAGGAAAAGGCAGTACTGATTTATGCCAGACTTCTCTGAGCAGAATTTGTTGCTTGTCTCATAGCGACCTCACACTTAGAGTCTCTCTTTTCAGGAAGAGCTCTCTCCAGCTCCTTCACCTGGGCTCTGGGTTTTGCTGGATGGGGGGTGCATTAAGCTATATGTATGTTAATACCTAGCCAAAGTCCTTCTTGCTGTGCAGGAAGAGGGAACTAGGAACGCAAGGCGATCTTGGAAAAAAGTTACTCGTGATTTACGAAACACCTTTTTGTCACTGCTGTTCCTAATTTGCCCAACTGCAGAACTGAGCTGAGGGGAATCTGTTCTGTTTATTTGGTTCCAGTCGCACCTGCCGCATTTAGGAGTAGGTTTGGATGGCAGAAATCCCTGACATTTCTAATGCACTCCAAGTGAAATCCTGTGGCTGCAGAACTGAGCTGAGGGGAATCTGTTCTGTTTATTTGGTTCCAGTCGCACCTGCCGCATTTAGGAGTAGGTTTGGATGGCAGAAATCCCTGACATTTCTAATGCACTCCAAGTGAAATCCTGTGGCTCTTGAGAGCCAGAGGGACTGTCCCTCAGTGCAGAGTGAGGAGAGCTGCTCTGCCCCTCAGCCCTGTGCTCAGCTGCCCTGTGCTGGCAGCTGGGAGCTGGAGAAGGAGCTCTCTCAGGTGTTGCCCTCAAAAGAAAGTGGACACTGCTGAGGGCAGAGGAATCCAGGTTCAGAGAGCAACTGGGCAGACTACCTGCCTTTTCTCATCTCTCCCCTCCCAGACTGGGACACCGAGGCACCATTGCATCTGCCCACGTACAGCTGCCCAGCAGCAGTGCCATCGCCTTAGCACTGAGGTGTCTTCTCCACAGAGATCCTGGGTGGCACAGAGATACTATGGGAGAGCTGTGCCCTTTGGGAGGGCACCCTGCAGCCCAGCAGGACCCTCCAGGGAAACAGCAGAACGTCCTGAAGTGGTCTGGAGGAGACTGGGGCACTTTGCTCCCATAGACACATTTGCACTGCAGGACCCAAAGGGTCTGCATCTGAACAGGAGCTGAACCTGCCACCCCCAAACCTCACCCCCCACACTGACTCAGCAAATCGAGCGGTGAGAGCAAGGGCAGCCCAGGCAGAAGTGGATGGCAGTGAGAACGCAGGGAGGAGGGACACACAAAGACAGATGGAAATCGGGGTTTGTCCTTTTCTGAGACCCAGTTTCTGAGAGGAGTGGCTGAGTGGAAGGTGTCTGTGCCACAGGGACAGCAGGGAGGTTCCCCCATCCCCCTCCCCAGCGTTTCTGGCAGCAGCTCCCTCTCACTCCCTGCCCGTGTCTCTGCTCCTTGGAGCTGCTCCTGGCAGGAGGCATCTCCCTGGCCCCAGCTCAACTCCCTGTCAGTGCTCACACACCCCGTCCCACTCGCTGTGTGCTCACCTCTGCCCTGCCAACACCTCCCAGGGGCAGGGCACTGCCCAGGGACATCTCTGTGCGAGCAGGGGCTGAAAACCAGATCACAGAAACCTCATATGGCTGGAAAGAGGAAGATGTCACTGAGGTGGATGGAGGCAGTTGGGTACAGTGCTTTGAGGTGCTTCTCCCTGAGTTACCGGTCTCTCAGTGTAAGACACTAGGCATCTCAAAGAACACTCTTCAGCAGAAACAAGAATTTTCACCACCAGCACCAAACCCAGACAACCAGACAAAGAGTCAGGAAAAGTCCTTGTCTTTCCAGGAGCCACTAAAATGGTATGTTTCTTAAGAAGTCCCCTTAGAAAAGTCATGAGGTAGAGCTGAGGCTGTGAGAAGCCCTGACACATGCAGAACTCTCTTGAGAGCAAAAGGACCCTTCCCTGCTGGGGATCACTCCTTCATTGCAGAACTTCTGCTCACAGCACCATTGGGAGCTTCTCAGTCACTCTGAACGATGATCCTGGCAGGTGGCAGAGACCCTTCCCCGGCACACAGCCTCCTGGAGTGCAGGGACCCTGCTCTGGAGGACAATCCTGGGTACCTCTGGCTGCACATCCACCTTCCCAGTCTTGCAGCCAAGCCCGGGAGAAGGGAGCTGCCTTGCCCTGTCCCTCTGATACACCAACAGGCAGTCCCTTCTCTGCAGCATGTCCTCCAGCACCAAACCAGAATAGCCAGGAGAGCCATCCTGACAGCTCCTATCAGCCATGGCATGTGCCAGGTCTAGGAGACCCTTCCAAGACACTCATCTGCATTGCCCTGCAGCCAGAGACTTACCGTATCATGGGTTCTGATGAATTCTCTGCCACTGAGCTCTAGGCTTCCTCACACCCCACACTGCCTTTAACCTCTCTTTGCCTCCGCTCTTTCCGCTCACTGCCTGCAGGCAGTGCCCTCAGCCCTGCTGTGCTTTGCAGAGCAGCTGCTCCTGGGCACAGCTGTCTCTCCGCAGTACTTCTTGGTTGCCATGAACTCCTTCCATCCCAGGAGCCCAGCCCAGCTCAGCAGCAGAGGACCAGCCATATGCAGAACCTTCTCTGTCCCCTCTGGGCTCCCTCGAGGTGTCCCTCGGGCTCCAAGGGAACCTGCTTTGAAACATGCTGAAGAAATGACTCATGTTTCCTCCATCACCTTGGGAGGCAAACTTCTTTGCAGCAAATCTTTAGTCCAACAGGTGACAAAGTTAATCCAAGATTCACCTCTTCCCATTCCACTATGAAACAGGATACCCAGACTGTGAAAGGCAGGAATGTCTTGTACCCATGCAAACCACAGGTGACATTTGAGGGACCAGAGGTTGTCCAAGAGATGTGCAGGGAACTATAAGCTCTGATCGAGCCATAAAGAGGGACAGGGCAACCGCTGGGTTCATCATTCTGGAGACTGGTAGAGCCTGCCTTGGGCCACCTGCAGTGACAGCAGATGCCCACGTCTAGGACAACATAGCCTGTTCCTGCTCATTATGTTCAGGGCAGCCTGGAGAGGAATTCCTCTGAGCAAATGGAGTCATTGGTATCAGCAGAGCTGGATCTCTCTCTCTTCCCCACCAGCTGTAGATGTCCACTGGCAGCTCTGGCAGGGTTCCCACAGACATCCCTACAAGGCCTGACCTAACTCAGGGCAGCTGCTCAGTTTAAAGGTTAACTACACCCTGTGGTGCTGCCTGAGGTTCCAGGGCTGTCCAGCACAACCACACACAGCCAGCCGGGACAGCACAAGGCTTGCAGGAACACCATCCCTATTCAGAGCAGCCATGTAACAGGTCCCAAGAGAACCTCAGGCATGTTCAGTGATTTTGTTCTTTCTTGCCATGAGGCAAGTCCTGTCCCATCTCTATCCAGTAGATGTAGGCGATGCTTCTCCCACATCAACAATCTCCCACATTTGATGATGCAATCAAGGAAGAGATCAATG